AAAGATATTTTGAACTTATTTCCCAATTTTCCCAATCGAATCAATCTTATCGGAAAATGAAAATTTATTGGAAAAAATGTACATTTTTGTTGTACATTTTTAGTTCTTTTTCTAATAGAAATTCCTTCTTTTATACTTTTCATCAATTTGACACGTTGTAAAAATTTAAATGCTTAACAACAATAAGGGGAATGCCATAATGTTTGCAATAATGTTTCTACGACATGTGGAAGTGACTTTCGACACGGAATGCGAGCCAAGGTACTATTAAATTTATTTGATGCCAAAATTCCAACGGCCATAAAACATTTTCAATTTCGCCGACTTCGTTCTTCGAGGGAAGCAACGAGAATTGCCCATTACTCTCGCATGCGACACACGCGACTGCGACCTTGAGCCAACAAATTCGCACTGATGTGTTTTGCGGTACGAGTCGTGCGCGTTATACAGACTGGATACAAGCCAATCGGTTGCGCGTGATTCCGAGGAAAATTTTTGGCGCGTGTGCATTTTTGCGCGGATTCGCGTCGGATCGCGGTTGATCCTGCGAGTACACTCGAACGTGAAGATTTTCGTATACAGCATTCGCGACGCTGACAACAAGTGTCCTTTTTCAACCAAGTCGAGTTGAGACACGAACGTTTGCTCTCACTTGAAAGAATTTGCCAATCTTTAATCGGCTTCTTCGTCGCTGCGCGTCGTGAATGCACTTTTTTGCACAAATAATGATTTTCCAGACGAAAGTCCAACTTCCAAGGTGCCCGAAAGTAGTGGCCCAATCTTACCAATAATATCATCCTTGTTTTAAGCACTCACAGAGAGATTACTCCGTGTTGTGCTTTTACCTTTTTCTCCGGATAGTTTCAGATTTATAACGTTATTATTCTTGATTGACGTAACAAAAATAATATCTCTATTAACTGAATAACTAACGCATCAAATTACCATTGTTCGCGTTTTACCATTCACTATACCTAAATGTGAAGAACGACGTTTACCCCTCTTTTACCCCCCGTTTCTAAACGAATTTCATTGATCGAGGCAAGGATTCTCTAACACGGTCCCACTATAATACATTGTAGCAACGATCACAATCGGTACTGTTGACATTGTTGTATCGACAATTCCAACCGAAAATCATTGTTTATCTTTCTACTGTATAGTGCGTAGTCAGTGGCGAAAGTCACGCTTCGCCGCGGATCGTAGCCGCTGCGGGCGGTCCGTTTGTCGATGACTTTATCACTGACAACGCGGCTATTACGATCACGAGCTCTACGATATACGCGATATACGTGATGGCGTTTATCGCGTATATTCGGGAAAATGTCTATAAATATTTGGTTATATATTTCTGCAGATTCTCTATTATATTTTTCTTATTTATATCTTTCATTTATGACTTAAAGTTTCACCCTTATTTTACTAACAATAAGTCATCGAATTTTGTATTTTCCCAGTGTTCGCGCAACAATGGATGATCGGCGTAAATTTCTCCAAGATCGCGCGTGTGACATTCTACGATAAACCTTGACCTATCATCGCGAAACGTACGTAGCACAGGTTCTAAAAACGGACGAATGGCAATGAGAACGTGCTCTTGCATTTCATGCCATTTTATTGTCCTCGCAGCATCTTGGAGAGTCTCTAAGCGAGACACAAAAGCGTATGAGGAAGAGAATGCAGATCAATACTCGGCATCTAATCATGCCAAACTCCATACGAGAGTATACAGCGGCAATTTGCGTCTGCTGATCTTGTCTCTCTTCTCATGTCTCGCATCTAGCCAGTTTGATTGTCACTCGGTCACGCCCTTTTCGATTAAAAATTGTCGAGAGAGAGAGAGAGTTACGAAAACACTTGCCAGTTACACGTTTACTATTGACCTTGAATTAGGATGTTTCGATATTCGCGCGTTACACAGCATTACGTAATATCTTTTTAATTACGTTATTTTTTTATAAATTTCCTCTTCCGACACTTAAACTTAAACTAACTATATTATGTAAATTTGCATTGTTTGCTACGTGGGAGTCGATGAAATGAAATGAAATAATTTGTATATTTTACATTGATGCTACATATAGATTATGTTAAATGACGCTTGTAAATTGTGTTTTGAATTAAGTGATCGACGTGTATTGAAGACGATATGATAAATGCGTGCAAAACAATAATTTGTATCGTCTCGTTTATTTGTAAAAGTATAGATATTTGCTATATACATATGTATATCTAAGCGGAAGAGAATTTATAAAATGTTGTTAATCCTTTATGACAGAAAATCGATGACGGTTTAGACAAGGTAACTGACGCAAGATTATGAGAGTAAAGGAATATAAAGTGAACTGGTTTTATCAGGAAAGTTTTTATTATAAATGCTATTATAAACAATTTTTATTTTATACCAATTTACACATGACAAAAATATCACGTATTTTAGATTACACCTGAAAAAATGAAGTCTTGGCATACTAATATTAATGTACAATATCTTCTTCTAATTTATTTATTTATCGAAATTCTTTTGCTGAAATTTATCTTACCATTTTATCTTATAAATGCTTGCCAGATATAATAAAACTTGAAGACACGTTACGAATCTATCATTAATGTCAATCGTTAAAAGTATCGATCGATGGAGTTCGGAAGGAATGAGTAATGGTGTTTTCCGTCGATGATTCCTATTTCACGGTATTCATGTCATTCTCGCTAAATTTTTTTTACTCGTTAATGCGCGGGTCGTTGTTGGAAATACTGACTTTCGTTTGATTGGCGAGATCTTGTGTCAAAATGAGTTGTTAGCATTACGCGTTAAACTGTGAAATGATACTATTGTCAGGAAAAGTTTCGTTCTCTATTATGGCGGTATGGCGACGGCAACCCAGTTCGTTGATCGATTTCGAAGTAGGTACGCATACAGGACAGCGCATTGCGGTGAAAATATAAAATTGCTGCCGGTCAGATAAAGTAAAATGCATCAAGAATGCTAGCTAAGAACAGAGCAAATCGAATTTTCTTGAAAATAAAAAGAAATTGTGCCATTAAGGAGGAAATGGGATAGAGTCTGTACATATATGAATAAGAAATATTTCAGAAATAACAAATATGTTTTGTTTGCTGCTCGCCTTGGATTATCTTGTTGAATAAATAGGATTGCAAGAGCTGAAATATTCATAACTTGAAAATTATTTTTCCGATTAAATCGCTTTTTCAACAGGCATCATTTTGAGTATCTTAACAGAAGTTTTCAATTTAGCTAAAGTAGAGGTTGAAATTTTATCAACATTAGTAAATGTTGTTATGCAAAAGATATAAGTGTCTTGTGTTTGTTTAAATCTGGCTGCCAACTGTTCTAATTATGAAAAAAACTTGCGCGTTTCTTACGAAGCTAGATTATTTTGACGTGATTATTTAGCACCTGCATGAGGTTAGAAGACTTTTTCATATCACTCGAAAATGATTCTTGCTCTTTTGTACAGCGGATGCAAACAAAAACATGTTACACGAGAACGTCATCGACAACGTTTTTCGCGTTAAAGAGAATTGACCATGTCTTCACTTGACTCTGATTAAGCTCGATTTGCAGAGCAAATTGATTCTTGAATCAAAAGCGAAGTGCTCTTTCGTTGACTTTAAACTAATAATTGTACAATAATTGTAAGCGTTATTTAAATGTTTTTAACAAATGATTTTCTCGTATTCGAAATTTGATCTCTGCGTTTTGCAGCTTTCGATTTGATTAATATTCGTGTAGAAAACTATTCTATCATCTAAATTTATACTGTGTGACTCGTGATTCTCTGTAACTTTAATTTTTACTATATACTGTTAAACTGATTACTCGCTATTACACTAATGAAGATTATAATCGTTCTTTTATTTCAAACAATTCTTTAACACAAATCTTTTATCTTTTATGCACATAGAAAAATCAGTTAGAACAATAAACTAACTAAACTATTATATTTTATTTTCGTATTTTTAAAAAGTCTAATTATAAAATAATAAGATGTTAAGGGAACACGACAGGACATTTACAGCAAGATATTTTGTATATAACTGATAGATACATTTTTATTAATTATAGACAATTTCTTTTATTTGTCGATTTTATTACGCGCAATTTTATTATCCACAATTTAATTGCACCTTACTCATAACAAACATCAAACGTACCATTTTTCGTCTGTATACATGCTCATCGAGTAGTGTTGAATCTAACATTCAGCCGCGAGCCGCTATAAATTGAGCGCGATTGTTAGTCTAGTGTCGCGCGACTGTTAGGCGAGTTAATTGACGACAATTGTTCTTGAAGAAGGCGTTAAGTTCGCATAACAATTGTTCAATAACAGTAAAGAGAATGGTAAGAGATGTCGAGATGGCATCATGTTTCCGTTTGATGATATTGTCTTGCAGACTCAACAATTTCGGATATCATCGGCATGTAAGATTGACTATCACGTGTTTGCTAAACCTAATTTGTATTAGGAATTGTCATCAAGCTTATGGCAAACTTGCAAAATTTAAACGGAGAAAACGTTTTACGATCGTGCACTCTGATGATGTCGTTCGACGTCACGATCTCGATCGGCATGAATTTCTTCGGTCCAATCGTGGAAAGTTTGATGTACGCAATGCGGCAGTTCAAAACTTGCTGATGCAAGATCCAAATATATTAAAGTATATTATGAATAAAGAGAGAGAGAGAGGGGGGGGGGGGGAAAAGAAATAAATACAAAAACAATTTTAAAAATGTTATTTGTTAATAAATCTTATTTGATTTTAACAAATGAGATTATAATGAGTACAAAGAAAGCATAAAGCAGATAAATAGTGTAAATTATGTAATTTTCAATGTTAGTTATATGTATAACATTTTGTTTTTGTCATTGTGTCTTAGGGCTTACATATGTCTAAATATATTATAGAAACTACTTAAAATACAAAATTGTAACAAGTATTTTCACAAACTTGACGGTTTGTCATCCATTTTGTTACAGTGAGATTACATGACAGCATACGAGAAGAGAATTTCCATTATCTCGTCTTTGATCTGTAAGTATATCGAATCGTTATTTCCAATTGTTAGATCTAATTCAGTCTTTCTATGTCTCTTGTATTTTTTTTTCGGTGAAACTAAATTGGTTATTTTATGGAAAAGAGTAAAAACTACCTCAAACGATAATTATCGAAATCTCAAATTGTAATAACGATGCACAATATATCTGTGGATATGATTTATCTCGATGACATTTTTAATTATTATTTAATATTTTTAGAATTATTTTATTATGTTGTTAACAGTTAATCAATTGTAAATTATGCATGCCTCTATCTAACACACAACGAGAAGAAACTATTCTAATCGGTGTTATTTATACGTGAAAAATTAATATTTCATTTATATGGAAATGTGAAATATCGTTATCTTTAAACAGAGTAATGCCAAAATTTTTATGATTTTTTATAACTCTGAAAACTACAACCTATATATATCTCTTTATTTCAAAGTTTGCGCGATTCTCGATCCGCGCAATCATGTTGGGAGCATTCGATACGATCTCGAGCTAACAATAGACGCGATTCTCGAGTCATCGCGTTCATCTAGTCTCGACTCCACTAACAGACTCCCAGCGGCGAACAACAGCGAGGCAATTCGTGAGCTCTAATTGCATTAAACAGAGATATCGATCTGCGGCCTTTGAAAATCATCAGCAATTTACACACGGAACGAGAAAGTATCGCGCCTAATTTAATTTTTGCGCGAGAATCCGCTCCGTTACGATTTATAATCGTAACGTAATTGATTTACTGAATACCGTAAATCTCGTTTCTCTTTCTTGCCGTTGCATATGGCAACGGCTATGACTTTGCTACTTTGTCACAACGCCAATTAGTTCACAGGTTACAAGGGATTTAATTTCATTCATTTGTTTTTCGCTTAATGTTTTCGCCAACATAGCACGCTATTTTCGGTTTTGTCCGTCGAATTTCTAATATTCAAGCAGTTAATTATATTTTCTGCAGTGTATAAAGGACATTAACACTGTAGATCTTTCACCGTATTTTAATTTTAATTTTTAACGCCTTTTTTTTTAATTGTCATTTCATTCATTATTTTCTTCTGTGAATTTTACTTGTCATTCGGCTGTAACGTGGATGCACCCTAATGTCGCATCTTAATGTGTAATAGTTATCTTCAAATCTAATCAATGAGATTTTATTATCTACCTATAATGACCTATAATGTCACAGGAGATCGAATATTGCTACTTTTTGCACGACATCAAGTTTGAGTACAAGCGGTACATTATACGGTACGAGAACACGCTTACGTTACGAAACATTTGCGGAAATTCACGCTACTTTTATTTCCGGGGTTAAACGTCCCGCTACTTGGCGATATTGCTTTACCACGCGATCTCGCGACGCGCTCGCGAAATGGAATTGAAACGTAAAACGCTTACAGAGTCACCGGCGGAGAACTGTTCGAAGACATCGTCGCCCGGGAATTCTACAGCGAGGCGGACGCCTCGCACTGTATTCAACAAATTCTGGAAAGCGTTCACCACTGCCACCATAACGGAGTTGTGCACCGAGATTTGAAAGTACGTAGAAAAAAGGGGGGGGGCGAGTTTGTCGTGTTTGCGCGTTTGCAGGGTCGACGCTCTGCTCTGGACTGCTCTTGAAATAAAGTGAGCGAACTCCAGCGTGCAGGTCTATTCTTCCACAATGCACTTCCGTCCAATACTTGATCTACCTTTCGCGATTTTTCCACGGGATGTCCCGGAAGATTGATACAATAATAGTAGACGACGGTATTCTCGGTCAAAGCTTTAAATTCACCGAAATCACTTGTCGATATTTTTCGGAACCAATTCAGTAAGCAACTCTGTAATTTACATGTTACGCTTACTATTAATTTCGACGAAGGAATGTATATACAATCTGTTTTGATGGCGATGAATTTATATACGAAATGCTTGATGATTGAATTTTACTTTAATTTTAATGGAAAAGGAACTTTTGCTTAAAGAAGAGTACAATACTGACTCGCATGCGCGATGTCGAGCATTCAACAATGTCGACGGATTTGTGCCATTTTCTGTTGCAGCCCGAAAATTTACTTCTCGCGAGCAAGGCGAAAGGGGCGGCTGTGAAATTAGCAGATTTTGGGCTGGCGATCGAGGTGCAAGGTGAAGCGCAGGCATGGTATGGTAAGTTGGCTCCACTTTTTCCAATGAATTAATCTTGAAACTTGGACTTTGCCGCCGTCGTCGGTCTAGTATCGACGATGACCGAAGTGACCGAACGATGCGAATAACTTGCGGAAATCTCTGTAAGAATTAAGATTCTTATGAGGAGAAAAAAGCATGTGTTACGTTTCGCGACATGATATTTAACTATTGTTTGGTTGTTGGATCTTTTTTTTTTCCTTCGCAACTGGTCGAAAATCATACAGAGGTTATAGACATTGATAACGAATATATGCGACATTGATAACGGATATATGTACATACCTATAATATAGGATTCGCGAATGTCTTATGTTGCGACACTACCATCCGGTACTATATTATTTACAAACGAAATGTAGTTTTTGTTCTTCCATTTATTATACTACATTTTTTTTCATTAAAACAAAAATAACCGTAGAAAAAACGTGTGAGTGTGTTTTTTTCATTTTTTTCATTTTACTTTAGAAGAGTATCTTTTTTTATATTCTATTTTATTAACCATCTATCTATCTATAATCTATGTATTTATGTATATCTTAATATTCGCTCAAGTGAGAAAATTAAAAAATAATATTGACTGTCTCTAATCTTATCGTTAAAATACATGTTTTGAAAAGCTTCAACATGCGCCTTATTTTTAAATCGCAAGCCTGTTTGAACTATTTTGCTATTGCTCGTATCATCTGCAATGCGAGCCGTGAACTTGGATTTTTTCGTTTACTTTGTGCCCTGTTCGTTTGTATGATTTACGTATACATTCTGCACTCTATAAGAGTCAGCATATTTGCCTACCAGCCAGCTGTTCGTTTTGTTTCTTTATGCAAAATTCTTTATGCGAGGGAAAGTTTTCCGATAGCGCGGTGAACTCTTTCGCGCATGCAGGCAGTTCCATAGAGAAACTTGTGCTTGATTTTAAATTCTTTATCGAATTCGAAGACAATCTTGTGGAAAATTTTGTTTGAAACGATTACTTGCCTTGCATATCTTCTATATTTAATGTCCAATATCTTAAACAATATTTAATTTTTGCTTAAATTTATATTAACTGTTACATTATTTTAATTACATTCAGATTATGTTGGCAATTTATTAAGTGCCTTAAAGGAGGATAAAAAGTTCGATTTTTGACCACCCTGCGGAATCTTAAAAAAACTACAAAAAGCTGTTATTTTTGTGTGAAACCCACACGAAATAGTGAAAACAGTTTTATATCCTAGAAATGCAGGAACGGTAGATTTTTTGATATTACATATATCATGTCTCCTTTTGTAAGTCGAATTTTCGTATACCACGCTAGAACTTATCACGGAATCGGATGTATTGCAAAAGTTTCTCCGTAATCGTGTCCTTCGAAAGGGAATGAACTCGAGTGATTGATAAAAAGGTTTTGCTGGAACGCCCGGCTACCTCAGTCCGGAGGTACTGAAGAAGGAGCCATACGGGAAACCAGTCGACATATGGGCGTGCGGTGTCATCCTGTACATCCTTCTGGTCGGTTACCCGCCCTTCTGGGACGAGGATCAGCATCGGCTTTATGGACAAATCAAGGCCGGATCGTACGATGTACGTATCACATATACGATTTATTTAGATTGTTTTTAGATTTTTATGTTAATTTATATACATTTATAAAAATGGAAGAAAAACGATACATAAAAAGAAAAAATTTGTTGAACAAAAATTCTATATAGATAAAATAACACTTTCTGTCAATTTTTTACATCTACTTGCGCAATTACGTCATTATCTATAAAGAATTAACATGATTAACATTTCTACGCTCGTTTTGTGCGCAGTACCCGAGTCCGGAATGGGATACCGTCACGCCGGAAGCCAAGAACCTTATTAATCAGATGCTGACGGTGAATCCAGGAAAAAGGATCACTGCTAGCGAGGCATTGAAGCATCCATGGATTTGCGTAAGTTTATCTTATCGCGACGAGCAATTTCGTTTACATTTATATTGTATATTTATCGTTTACATAATTTACAAAGTAACATATAATATCGCATTAGGTTACCGACACAGGGGATCTTATTATAACGCGCCAGTATATTGCATTTCTATATTTATGTAGTGTTACGCAATATATGTGTCACGTATATAATTTAGTACATTAAAATATGATGGTTATTTAAATTGAAAAGATTAAAAGTAGATATAAATAAAATAATGTGATATTGTGATATATACTTCTATGGATAATAGAAATTTTTTATGTGTCAAAGATTTATCTTTTGTTTGTTTATATGTTGAAGTTATCATTTACGAGTGTTATTCATGTTGACATAATTTGACTGCTTTTGTAATTTTTTGTTTCTTCTCTAAATGAAATTTTATAAAATTTTCTTAAGTTTCGCAGCGTGTATATTGTTTCTTCGCTTCGGGACAATGCCTAATATCGTTTCCCATTTGCTTTGTGTTTCAGCAACGTGAGCGTGTTGCATCTGTGGTGCACAGACAAGAGACCGTGGACTGCTTGAAGAAATTCAATGCAAGGCGCAAGTTGAAGGTGAGTATTAATTAAAAGTTTTACTTTATACGTTTATTCAACGTTTATTACATATCTCTATCTTAAATTTCTGTCAACCATTTGACGATTACCTATATGATTTTGCGATTTTTCGTTATGAAAAACCATTCACGGTTTATTATTTAAATGCTTTGATTATTTCGAAAAATTAGTTACACTGTGCAATAAGTAAAAATGCATTTTTTTATTTGCATGGATAAAATTTAAAATAAAACTGAGACACACACACACACACACACACACACACAGGGAATGTTACCTGAATTTAAACGTTAAAAAAATAAAATACGCTTTATACTCATTCGGATAAACAATCTTTTTGCTACCTTTCGTAACCACCCGTAAGCCTGCACCGTTTTAAATGTTGCATTTTATCTTAATTAGTATCGGAAAAGATTGCACTTGATTCAAATATCTCGCAAATATCTCAATTACGAGATAAATGTAAATTGAAATTTGCAAGTGGTTTCATTTCAGGTAATATACGAATATAGGATATTGGCATACAAATATAGTTTTTATGAGAATGTTAAGAGATTTGTCGAAATTTGTTATTCGCGATTATCAATTACTAATTTTATAGCGCATGGAAAAGCATGACGGTAATCACGCAAATTCTTATTCTCGCCTGCCGCAAAATCTCACATATTAGCTCCGGCCATTTACAAATGCAAATTCCATTATATCCGCTTATCACGTTGCGGCCTGGATTGCGTCCGTGCGAAACTGCGGATGTTAGTAACATCTGTAAAATTAGAACGCCGTGACGCGCATCGTGGCCGGAGGTATTGTAAATTCGATTTATCAATTCTTTCTCGGGAAGCATCGTCGAATGAAAAATTAATTTCACGAAATACATCATAATATTTCAGAAGAAATTGATTAAAACGCAAATTATTTAAGTGAGAAATACCACGAGTAGAGGAAATTATATACATGTATAAGTTTCATTTAACTGTTTACGCCTTGAATATTCTATACTAATATTCCAATATCGAAACACTTGACATTCTGTTTAGTCGAGTATCTATAATGTATAATTCAGGGAAGTGATTGACAAATGAAAAAAATTAAAGGAAAATTTCGAAAATTTTCAAAGCAATTACTACAAAGAGATGAGCTTTCACCGCATTTGCGGCACCACAAACTGTGATTCGATCAGAAATCGCGATGAAATCGTCTCCCTACCTTACTATTCTTACGGCACTGTTGTTCGACAAGTCACCGACGATTAAACGATGGCATGCATCGACCAGTACGACTCCACTTCTCGTTGCAATCGCCGCAGTCGTTGCTCTCGACGCAGTGTACGAGAGCAGAGAGTGCTGCTTTTTATCAAAGCCATGTGTGTATGACAACGTTCACTCGCCGTTATTGGAATGCGTCGAAAGTTCGAGGCATGTGCGAGGACAGCGCATATTCCTCTCAAAGGATTTCGATTTAATTGTGATAAACTGTGAAACTGAGAGTGCGACAATTCCGCGAAACATTGAATATTTGTAAAAATGGACGTTGGGACGAGCGTGAAAAAATTCATTTATTCCTTCAATTTTGTTTAATTTTATTGATTTTATCGAAAATCAGCGTATAAGTTAGCAGTGCAATTTCTAATATTTTAAGTACGATTAATTGTTATTTATATCGCGATGATTAATGTCGACAACATTTGCAAAGAAAGGTTTTCTTTTTAGTTAGACAATTTCGCAAACGTGAATTTTAATAACTTTTTGTATTTATTTTAATTGTCAATTTAAAATTACAAATGTATTAAGGCTCATAAGAATAAAATTCAATATTAGTAAGGATAGAAGAGCTACAGAGCCGAGCAAGGTGTTTACGCTTCAGTATCTTTATATATTCTGTCAGTGAACTCACATTAAATTAAAATCGTCGCAAATACAAAAACATGTGCGCACGTGTGTGTGGCTCTATAGCTGTACAGCTCTTCTATCCTTAGTAATATTGAATTTAATTGTCAATGTAATTTATTTCTTTAAATTTATTTCCTTATTATATTTTCTTTGTCTCTACAGCTAAGTTTTTGTTGTTTGAATTTCCTTGTATTATATTTGTACGCTGAGCTAGAAACTTTGAAGGAAAAGATTATATAGGTACTCAAAATTCTTATTCTAACATTATGCAGCTTTTAATTAATTTTTTTAAACTCTTATAAAAATATTAGATTACTCTAATTATTTTTATTAAATGGATCACAAAAATTCTTATATTATTTATTTTTTAAATGTAAAAACTACGTTTAGTTAACTAGAGCAACGGTTACTGGAATGTGAGGATTGTATGTCCTTGTAAATTACGAGCAAAATTGGATACGCAATTTTGACCTATTTCTTCATGCTTATAATCTCAACTCAATTGGACGACATAATCATGACGACACTCGTAGCAGTCGTTCAATGCCTGAACAAAGCGCAAAGAAAACATTTCATTATTTGATACGAACGACGATGCATGAACAGCTATTAAACGTTCAACAATGGCTCGTGGTCGTGATTAAACAACACGTGCGCAAGTCTTATCGTTCACGTGCATGATATTTGAATCGTACTTGTATGTACATACGGTTACTGTGGCTAATATGGTAACATATTGTATTACAATTCAATAACGTTTTTAGCATCAAGAAAAAAGTATTTCTCTTTGTAAACGAGAGAAAGAAGATCTTTTAATGCTCTTGCCGATAAACGCATTTATGTATTAATATTAGAAAAATCTCGTTATAATTTACATAATTATAATTTTGTAAAAATTTTAATTAAACAATGTCCTTATGGATCGAATATTATTTTTGGCATAAGAACGATAAAGAGCTATTAGATGCCATATTTGCACAGAAATATAGCTAGGCTGTAATTTCGTTTTACGCACTAACTGGATTCTATAATGTCGCTGAAAAACGACACTACTATAATGTTTAAGTGGATAATTTTCGCGCGTTGAGATGAACATTGCGTTTCGAAACACATAACTGACGCGAATTACTGACATTAAAATTGCTGGCTTCTCTCGCGAACCGGACTTGATAACGTTATCTTAATAATAGTCGACGATATAGCGAGTGCGCAAAATCGATCAAGTTTGTCTATACCTCTGCGTGACGTAATTATAATTGGGTACCTAGGTACCGTCGTGATCAAATTTTTTGCGCGAGATTGCCTCTGTGAGAATTAAATATCACTTTAAGCCAATTATCAAGTCCCTCCATAAAGAGATGAACGAGCGGCAGGTAAATTTTGAAAGTACTTGAAAATTGTAATTATAATACATTACCAATAATATTTTGCTTTGTTTTAATTTTTCTTTATAATTATTTATTTGTATCTTATCGAATAGTAAAGATAAACTATAATTTTGGAAATAAATTCACTTATTTTTCGTATTGATTAGCAAACGATAAAATATCATCTTGTCTTCAATTTTAGCGTAACAATAATGACTTAATTTTGTCAATATTATACAATAACAATAAGTAATAAATCCATGTTGATATACTAATAACAGTAAGTAGAGTATTTTTTGTATTTTACATTGTAATAATTTATATTGCCTAACTTGAAATTGATAATGCAGGTTTTTTTCTTTTTTTTTATTATAAAAGAACCAAATTGCCTTATAATTATTAATTTGTTTTATTATTAGAGAATTAATGAATTTTGAGGCACTTGCGAGGTCTTGGTCTTGTATTGCTCTTGCTTTTTCAAGTTCCAGTTTTTATCGAAATCGTCGTAATAGCGATCGCGCGTTAGAGGCATGTAATCGGCCAAGCACGTAAAAATGAAGCATTGAAGCGACGTCGAAGCAGTTGTTGCAGCTGTATGCCGATTAAACCCCGGCCGCGACGTTGTGGCTCATAAAAGTGCAAATGTCGAGTGAGGAAGTTTAATGACGCCCTCCGCTCGTTCGTTCGTTTTCGCGCAGATTGAGACATGCGGGACTGAAGAATAAATTCATGTTGTGCAGACAACAGGAAGTGACTGCAGTGTCCGAAGTAATGAAATTTTAATCACCGTCAGATTGATTGTCTAGTAACGCGACGGTAATCAGTACGTACGGTAGATACAACAAATATCAATAATACAAGATGTTTATGATATGATATTTATATTGTGTTTCATAACGTTTGCTACGTATGCCACAGGATGACGTAGAATTATTTAGAACTGCGAAACATTTTCGTATGTCGATTGTAACGATATTCGTCAATTTGCACCAGTCGAATAATTTTTAATTAGCGTTTTCTGTTACTCTCTCTCTCTCTCTCTCTCTCTCTCTCTCTTCTCAAAAGCAATAATACGCAGATACTTGATATAGATTAAAACGGGAAAGGGAGAGATGTTTTAGAGCTTTTGTGTGAAATCACAGTAGCCGCTTTTTAAAATTGTATTAAATATAAAAATGGAACATTCATTTTAATAACATTGAATGATTTGGCAAAAAGTAAAAATTAATTGTTTTATCTTTTCTCTAAAAGGATTATTACTTGTTTCTAAATTGATTAAATTGAGGTATTGTTTTCATTGTTAATAAATTATTTAAAATCGCGAAGAAACGTTAATTGATTTACGTGAAGAGCACGATGATTTTCTGATTATCAATAGTTGGATCAATAATTGTGTACAGTTGTGTCTAGATACACACAGAAATCTCAATTAATAAATATAAATTTTGAGATTAACGTGTATTTTGGTGCTAGTTAAAAATTTTATAATATTCTGCTCGTAAAAATGTATCGAGACAAATCTCTGTCAAAGGCTTTATTATTTAAGACTTGGTCGCGTTAATTCGAATGTCGCAATCGACATACGAAAATGAGCAATATTGCTAATCGATGATTCGAAGTAGGAGAACGAAACAAAAGATAGCTTCGTTTTAGAGATAACAAACATGGAATATCCGTCTAAGCACGTTTACGAATCTCATCCGACGGATGGCCTTATTACGTAAAGTTCGGCGACGCATCTCGAACTGTTTGCTATGGAACACAGTGAAATGGTGTCACTCTGTGTGACAATGTTTCCAACTTGCCGCGAATGTCACCGAGCTTGATGAAAGACGAGAGTTTACGAGTAAACTTCAACCTGAAACTCCGTATAATCATCCGACCTCACTCTTAAGGTCGCCTGTCACTCGCGTACACTCGCTTGTCGTCTGGAAATTATTTCCCGTAATTAAAAGCCGTCGCATCATGGTACGGCAGTTTGGACTTTTCCCAGACGTTTATCATAATCGTGCGCCTTTAAAGACACGCGATCGACTCTTGTTGATTTTCTTATACCGAATTATGGTAGACTAATCGATAGCTTAATTTAATAATCTATGCATACGCGATACATGTGCGCGCGCGTGTATAATTAGTGTCAAAGTCTGTTAATTCTAAACATTTTATAGTGGTAAAAAATATTGAAAACTGTTATCGATAAATATAAACCGTTTCGAAAAATTCAGTATTTTGGAAAAAAAAAACGATATTTTTCTCTTATATATTACATTTAATTTCTTTTTTAGCTTTTTATTAATGTTATATTTTTATGTTATATTTTACGACAAAAGGAAAGCTGTCACTTTATATACTGCTATTAAGAATTATCGCCCCTTTTACCTCATCCTTGTATGTACATCATGCATGTTCTGTCTCATTGATATTGTCTGACCGTGAAGATTGATGGTGATCATTTTTCCTTTTCGCTTTCAGGGCGCAATATTGACAACCATGCTGGCGACGCGGAACTTTTCCAGTAAGTATGATGCACAGGGTAAGTACCTCCGGCCCTCTTCAGCGCTCTATACGGACCACGACAGACAGTACTTTTATATCTTCCGTTAAACTTTACGTCTCCATGTTTCTGTACACGAATACATTCCTTTAACAACCCCCCCTCCCTCCCCCAACAAAACTACATCTCCCTCCTTTCCCTCTATCGTTTATTCGTCTTGCACTTTCGCTACATAGAGGATCTATTCATCTGTCTTTTCGCTCCTTTCAAAAGGTGCTTTATAATGCGGTTGTATAGTGCCATCATTACTAAATGTGTTATCTTATTATATCACTGTGTATATCACAATGATAAACTGTCAATTCTATCCTGATTTTTACGAGGATTAATATAAAGTCTTTTTAAATTCTGTTGTATTGATATTTTTATTCTTATAAAAACGACTGCAAAATGGAGCACCTGTGTATGCACAGAGATAAACTAGAGTCCTTTCTTGTTGAGACAACCTCTTGTATTAGATGATCGAAGGAGCGAGGTTGTACAAGGAATCAAACAGTTATATTAATATAGCACAATGATTATGAACAATCGGCCGTATTTATTATCTGAAAATCATTTTTCACGCGACTTTCGCGGTTAATTAAGCACTTATTAGACAAAGAATTGTATTTTATCCTCGCTCACTCGGTATGGTTATCATGATATGATGTACATCCCTATCTATTTCGTATACTTTATATAGTTGATGCACATGGCTCGCACATCATATCCTGCAAAGACTGTGGTACGTTACCCAGAAGGATTAGATCTTTACAATGGATATACATGATTTATATTTTACGTGGTACGTAACATGACTAGTGTCACGCGTATAGCGTGATTCTCGTTATGGAGGCAAACAATTATCCTAAATTTTAATCCTTTCATTGCAATACCGTATTATTTTATTAAAGTTGAAAAACAATATGAAAATTGTAATTGTATATTGGCCACTTTTATTGTGCGTCTACTTGACACAATAACAGAATAATGATGTAAATTTATGTTGTAATAAGATGTTTTTGAAACTGTTTCTTGTTTTTAAACTTATTCGCGCGCTCGTGCACACACGTACAGAGAGAGAGAGAGAGAGAGAGAGAGAGAGAGAGAGAGAGAGAGAGAGAGAGAGAGAGAGA